TTTTATATATGGTTTAAGTCATTTCTGTAAAGTTTGGTTGAAAATGGACGTCGTTTGACGTGATTCAGACCTAAATTGCTAAATTTGATACTTGATGAAGTTTGAGAAAAAGTTCTTGATTTTTGAGGTATGATTCATTGTTATTGAGGTTATTTTGGCAATTTGATCGCACGGATAAGTTCGTAAGATGTTGTTGAGTTAGTACGTGTGTTTGGTTAGGAGCCCGAGGGCTCAAGTGTGTTTCGGATGTGTTTCGGCAAGTTTTGAACTTAGGAAAAAGTTGCAGATTCAGAGAAGTTGCAGGTCTCTGAAGCCAGGTCCGCGGTAGAAACTTCGCGGCCGTGGTGGGGGCTCCGCGACCGTGGTGGGATTCGTGCGGTCCGCGTTGAGCAAGGCGAAGCCTCCGCGACCGCGCTCAATTACTTGCGGTCAGAGGTGGAGCTCCGCGACCGCAGTCCTTTTTATGCGGTCCGCGGAGAGGGTCTGAGAGGGGTATAAATAGATGGGATTTCCAGTTATTTTCATTTTTTCAAAACCCCAAAAACATAAAAGGCGATTTTTCAAACAATCTTTTTTCTCCAAATCAATTGTAAGTAATTTTTAACTAGTTTTCTTCAATCATTAACATCTTTTAACATGATTTCAACTTCAAATCAATTATTTTCATGGTGGAATTGGGAATTTTGGGTAAAACCTAAGAAAATATTGAAATTTGGGGATTTAGACCTCAAATTGAGGTCGGCTTCCAAAACCAATTATATATCCGGGCTCGGGGGTTAATGGGTAATCGGGTTTTGGTCCGAATTTCGGGTTTAGACCAAGCGGGCCCGTGGTCAATTTTTGCTTTTTTGGGGAAATCTTTATAAAACCTATTTTCATGCATTAGAATTGATTCATTTAGCATTTATTGATATCGTTAAGCAAATTATGGCTAGATACAAGCGAGTTGGTGGTGGAAACATGAGGTAAAGCGGTAGTTGAGGCTTGAATTGTGTTCGTTGCATCGAGGTAAGTGTTTGGTCTAACTTTAGCTTGAGGGATTAGGAGTTGTGTCATGTTTGCTATTTGCTTCTTGTCGAGTACGACGTATAAGCATGGTGATGAGTATCTATACGTTGGTGTCAAGCATGACCGTGGGTCTTATATTGTGGTTTTCATGATTTCGTTGTATTATTCATGCCTTGGTGAAGATTTCTAATTGTTGTATAAAGCTTGTGGAAAGAATTGTGGCCTATGAACATTAAGGAGCGTTGGCTCAAGTTGCATAGTAAAATTATGAAAGTACAAGTGACAATTGAACTTTTAGAGCATTGGCTCGAGTTGTGAAATGAGTTGTGAAAGAATAAGTGATAATCGAACCTCTAGAGCATTGGTTCGAGTTATGAAGTGAATTGTGAGGTAAAATTGAGAAAGAGTTATTAAATTTTTCCCTTGCCGGGATATTGTTGCTTTGTTAATTATCTCCCTTGCTGGGATGTTGAGATTATTGATGTTGTTCCCTTGCCGGAATTTAATTGTTTAATTGTGTTCCCTTGCCGGAATTTCTATTATTATTTTGTTTATTCCCTTGCCCCTTTGTTTGTGATTGTTATTTGGGTGAGGAAGAGTGTTAAAGCACGAAGGGTGATGCCGTGCATTGTTTGTTATTGTGAGGAAAGAGTGTAAAGCACGAAGGGTGATGTCGTGCATTGTTTGTTATTGTGAGGAAAGAGTGTAAAGCACGAAGGGTGATGTTGTGCCGCACAACGTACCATTCCGTGCCGATTCTATTGATTATATGGTGAGGAAAGAGAGTAAAAGCACGAAGGATGATGTCGTGCACATTTTGATTATATTATTGTTTTGGTGAGAACGAGAGTAAAAGCATGGAGGGTGATGTCGTGCAAATTGTTGATTTCTGCTTCCTTGTTGATATTCTAGTTATGTTGTTTCATTCCTTACTCGATGCCTTTCTATTCGGAACTATTATCTCCCCCACAGCTTGTTTTCCCCTCCCACATTGACTGGTTATTTTTGTATTTTTTTCCATTGTATATATATATGAACTGTACATGTTTATTTGGTAGTCTAGTCCTAGCCTCGTTACTACTTCGCCGAGGTTAGCCTAGACACTTACCAGCACATGGGGTCGTTTGTGCTGATACTACACTCTGTACTGTGTGCAGATCCAGGAGCAGCCTTCGGACAGTAGTTGGAGGGCTTCCTTCAGTCCACTCGGAGACCCAAGGTAGACCTGCAGGCGTCCGCAGGTCCTGGCATCTCCCTCTAGCTCTATTTCCTATTTCATTTCCTTTTGTTCAAAAACAGTGTATTGTATTTCTTCAGACCTTGTATGTAGTAACTCTTAGACAGTCTATGACACTGTGACACCAGGTTTTGTGGTATTTGAAGTTTTAAGAGTTGTAATAGACGTAGCCTTAAGATATATAATTGTTGACTTCCGCTTATTTATTTAAAATTTCGCTTTTATCATATTATCGACTTGTGTTGTTAAAAAAACAAAGATGGAAGTGTAGTAAGTAGTTAAGGTTTGGCTTGCCTAGCTCCCAGTAGTAGGCGCCATCACGACTCTCGAGGATAGGAGATCCGAATCGTGACATTAATATACGCTTATAGTCATGATAACAATGTCATAACATATTAGGACCACAAATTTTAGAAACTCTGAGCCCGTATAAAACGAAACGGAGCCACTTCTATCATCACCAATGATTCTAATTTTTGTCAATTAAGTGATAAAACATGATGGTAACATATGGGGTACTAATTAATTATCGTTATGTGATAAAAATTCATGTACATACACTTGTCTTACATTTAGGACGTGTTTGATTTGCTGTATTAGCTAAAACAATCATGGTATAAGAACATGCATTGTTTTATCAGTTAATACTATACAACAACAACAACAACAACAATCCAGTATAATCTCACTTAGTGGGGTCTGGGGAGGGTAGTGTGTACGCAGACCTTACCCCTACCCTGAGGTAGAGAGGTTGTTTCCAAATAGACCCCCGACATCCTTCCCTCCAAGAACTTCCCACCTTGCTCTTGGGGAGACTCGAACTCACAACCTCTTGGTTGGAAGTGGAGGTTGCTTACCATCAGAGCAACCCCTCTTGTCAGTTAATACTATCTATTTATTTATTCTCTTTTTTCGCACATATAAAACCTGGTGTGACCATGGCTCTTGCCAGTCTTTTTTCAATCTTGCTCATGGACAATTATTGATCCCTGAAGCAGTGGTGGAAGCAGGGATTTCATCAAGAGAGTTTAACAAAAAAAACACGCAAAAATGCTAAGGAGTGATTTAGCATCTACAATATATACATAAAAAAAAACCGAGATACATAGTGAAATTTCACTGAAGGGGGACCGAACCCCTTTCTGGCCACCTAGCTTCGCCCCTGCCTAGAAATTGTTAAAATTCATAAGCAATGAATAAAATAGTTCCAAAAAAGAAAAGCCCAAAAGATGTTTAAAGGACCTTAATTTCTTTTACCAAAAAAGAAAAAAAAACTCATCCAAATATAATTACAAATATCTATTCATATAGAATAGGAGAAGCAAAAGCACTACACTAAGACAAGTGTCTTAACCACAAAAAGTCAAGTGGCATTACTAAGACAAAATCTAATTTTATTTTGAATTTTAAATTTTGATTTAATTACTTACACTACTTGAATTAATAAATATAGATATCTTATAATTATCAATAAAAAATAAAAATACAAAAAAAATATTCTACTCATTCAAATTGAAGTTTTAAAATTATTTTATAATAAATAAAAAATAACAAAAAATAAAAAACTACCAATTCAAATTAGAGAGTAATTTCTTCCTAGTAGAGTATATATGGGAGTAGTTATTATACTCAATTGGTAATTTATTATAATTCATATGCCAATTTAACAATATTAAGTAATGGATAATATAATTACATAAACAAGAAACAAATAATTGATAATACAATTAGACTTATAAAAATAATTAGAATTATTATGAGAAAAGTAGATATACACATAACTAAAATTATAATAAAGAAATAGTCATAAATGAAGAATACTAAATAAATAAGTAAATTAAATGATATCGTAAATATATATATATATATATATATATATATACTAATTAAATTTCTCATGTAGAAAAATGTAGTTGATAAATAGAACTCATAATTTAATAATGAAAAATACAAAAATATAAAGAAACTATTAGGATATTATACATAAGATAATATATTATATATATAACATATTTTATTAATTATTAAAAATATTAGTACTTTTTTCATAAAAATAAAAGGCTTATCTCTTTATACTTTTGATGAATTCAAAATTATAATTTCGTAAAAGAATGATATTATTTAAATTTTTAGTAAATATAAAATAAGAAAACTAATCCAATATTATAGTAGAAATGAATGTCGAAAAGAGGTGGATTAATTTTATAATAATTAATAAACAAAATATTAATAAATAACACTTCAAAAAATTATTGATAAATTTAGACAATTATAGAATTTTAAACAGAATAACATAAGTATATAAATACATATTTCTAGAAAAAGAATATATATATATATATATATATATGTATATTCTACTAGAAGAGAAGTAGTATCAAAATATTAAGACAGTTGAAAAATTAATAAAAAATTACATTAGTAAATGTATAGTACTATGTACTTGCTAATTTAATAAAGAATAAACAAGGAATAAACAATTTATGTGATACTATAATGCTTTGTATATTTAATTTTGTATAGATTTGATTATACTTACGTATACTACATTAAATAATAAAATAGTAACTATTATTTATTAAAATAATATGATATATTAGATCATAATTTTATAAGATTAATATTCCGTCAAATTATCCGCATATCGCGCGAGTTCTAATACTAATTACTAAGAATAATAAAGGCAAATTCCAAAAACTAAAATATAACAACACAATCAAATACAAGAAAGGAAAGGAGAAAAAAAGAAAATACGGAAAGAGGCGAAATCAAAGACTTAACTTTATTACTAAGCACGACAAGCAACATCTGAGAAGACCAAATCTTATCAATTGGAGAGGGGTTAATTAATAATCATACGGTGAAGCAAACAAGTGCAAATTATTTTTCCTTGCAACGGCAGCACCAAAAGTTTCAGTCATATCTAATTCCTCGGGATTTATACCATTAGGAAGTTTCCAATCAAAATGGTAGAGTAATCTAGCCAGAGTAAGCTCAAGGTTTGCTATAGCAAATGACATTCCTGGACAAGCTCTTCTCCCAAATCCAAATCCGAAGAACTCAGGAGGAATTGATCTGTTGATATCATCTATAAAGTTGAATCTCTCGGGCTCAAATTTCTCTGGATCACGCCAATATTGGGGATCCCTTCCCATTGCCCACATATTCACTAGGGCTATTGTTTTATTCGGTATAACGTATCCATTAATCTCGCACTCCTCTCTTGATTCCCTAGGTACAGACAAGGGACCAGGAGGATGAAACCTTAGAGTTTCCTTAACTACCAATTTCAGGTATTTCAAATTCTGAATATCACTATGATCCACTATTTTCTTTCCTTTCAAAGTTTCTCTTACTTCAGCTTGAGCTTTTTTCATGATTGTCGGATTCTTCATTAATTCGGACATGGTCCATTCTAATGTAGTTGCTGTGGTATCAGTTCCGGCAATGAGCATATCCTGTAGGTGCATGCCTAATCGATAAGCAATTTTAGGGCTTATTTGCAGCATATAATGAGTAACTAATAATTAAGAAGGAAAAAAAAAAGAGATGTAGAGGAAGAGAATTACAAGAAGATCTAGCTAGATACATACCAAGATTATGGCCTTTATGTTATCTCTTGTTATAGGGATTTGAAATTTGTGTCTCTCCTTTTCCCCAAGCCTTAGAAGAACGTGCAAAAGATCTTCTTCATCAATTGGTTCACCGTTACTTCTTTGTATGCTATCTTCATGTTCACGAACAATTTCTTCAAGAAGACGATCACATACTTGATGCATTTTAACTAGTTTTTGCTTGGATCCTGTGATATACGGAAGAAACTTGAGGGAAGGGAACAAATCTGGGATATTTAAGAGTCCTCCGATAGTTGTTGCTTCTTTTGCTGCCAAAATCAATGAGTCGGAATCTTTATTAGCCATTCCAACTGAAGCTCTGCAAACAATAGCACAAGTGAGCGTTTTAAAACATTCAGACATATTAATTGGGGTACATGCGCCTGAGGCCTTGATAGATTTAACTAAGCGCGAAATCTCTTCCTCCATTAGAGGATAAGTCGACCGAACCCTTCTTGGACTTAGGAGCTCTAAAATGCAAATTTTGCGCATTTGTTTCCAGTAATCACCGTAGGGAGCAAAACCGATGTCTCCACCATCGTACATCATAGTTGAGAGAAGGAGATCCGGCCTATTTGCAAACACGATATCACTTATTCTTATCACTTCTTTCAGCATTTCATACGATGATATGACAATAGTTGAACATTCACCTAGTTTTAGGTGCATCAAAGGTCCATATTTCTCAGCTAATTCCTTGAGAGCAACATGGGGGGAGCTAATTCCCAGCTGATGCAAGTTCCCAATGAGTGGGAGCTTCCATGGTCCCGGAGGCAAGTTTTTTCGCCCTCTTTTGTGATCCTTGATGAATATGAACATCATTGGTAGGAAAAAGAGGAAGATGATAATGAAGAAAGAAGCTTCCATTATTATGTTGACTAGACAAATCACAGATCTAGATTGGTATGACAAATTTACTAGCATCTCTTTCTAATTTATCAGCTTCTTGGCAAGACCAACTAATATAAAATAGAGTAGCTTTCCTATGCGAGAGATATTAATTAGTCAATATATGCATTGATTAATATTATATCCCATGCTTTCATGTGTCTAATAATGTATCAGCTGGCTACTACATTATTATATGTAGTCTGAAAATGCTATTTTTTCTCATGATATATTAAGTATTAATCTTGTTTACTGGTTCTTTCCATTCTCGATCCTTCAAAAGTTCAATTAAAATTTGATCAACTGCGGTGTCAAGCAAGTATTGTAGTGGTTTCCACAGATGAAAAGTATATTTTTATCTCTAAACCATAGCTAAGTAATACACTATCTCACTTATTTATAATTTAACCATGAAAATTAATACCATTTCGATGTAAATATTTGGTACGGGTAAGTTTTTATCTTCACTCTTTCGTCTGTTTTTTAATGAAACGCACGTGGTGTTGTTTACAAATCCTAAGACATCTAACTAATTAAACAATTATAGTGGTACGTTTTGAAATTACAAGAGGAGAGTGAATAATAGTCATTTTAAATTTTGTAGTCAACTGAACTAAGCAGGGAGTCGTCTTTATATAAGCTCTAAATAGAATAGGTAATACTACTAGAAATTCGAGAAAAATCGTCCGCAAAAACCGACCAAAGTAGGTCGGTAATGGGCAATAATATAACCTTCCAAAACGCGACCATTAACGTGTGATCGGTATTTTGATGATCGGAAGAGCATACCGACCAAAGTAGGTCGGTGTTTTCCGACCGATTTTGGTCGGTCAATTAAATTCAAAAAAATTACCGAAAAAACCAAGCGAAGTTTGTCAGTTTTTTTCGACCAAAGTCGATCGGTATTTTGTTTATGTAGTACTATGGCAAGATATTATTCTACCACTAGACCATTGGTGCATTTTATTTTAAGACTGTCTTTTATTTCATTTATATTCTTTAATTGTATTTTCTCACCAAAATAATCGACCGATGTCAGTCGGTTTTATTAAAAAAAAAACAACCGAATTCGGTCAGTTTTTTAAAATGACCGGCCAAATTAACCGACTGATTTCAGTCGTTTTTTTTAATATTAATTTATTTTATTTTAAATGAAAAACCGGCCAAAGTTGGTCAGTTTTTTGAAAAATAAATTTTGCGGGACTCATATATAGTTTTGCGCCAAAGAAAACCGATCACAGTTGATCGGTTTCGTAAAAAAAATAAAATATAAAATATTTTGAAAAGTTAACCAAGACTTTCGTTGGTTATTTGGCTGATTTTTTGACCAACTAAAATTGATCGGTCGACCGCGGCCGATTTTTGCTGGATTTCTAATAGTGCAAGGGACTGAAAGTAAATGTCATAAATGAAACTGAGATGCGATAATCTTATGCCGGTCATTGAATCTTAGTCTAGTCCTCTTTGAATTGCAAAAGGGTAATCTCTGTAAGTTCTTGGTAACTTGAGTACAACTTGATTAGTGAGTTTCCTACCCACACACCAACTTTATACTTTTGGAGAGTTGCAAATGTTTCCCTCGTGTGGTTCAAATGATCTGCTCCTTGAATAGACTTTACCTGCACATCACCAATATAAACTTTTATTGTCTTTCCAATGTAGTTCTTGAATATTTGGGTCATTCAACCGTTGATATGTGGCTCCTTGGCTCCTGCATTTTTAAGTCCGAATGACATCACGTAGTAGCAATAAGTCCACCAATTTGTGACAAAGGAAAATAGTCTTTTGGACATCTCTTATTTAAGCCATTGTAGTCGATAAATGCTCTCTACTTATCAATCATTTTTAAGACCTCTACCAAGTTAGCTAACCAGTCCAAATATTTGACTTCCTGGATTGATCAAATTTTCAAAAGTTTAGAAACCTCATCTTCTATGATTTGATTTCAGAATGGCCTGTATTTCCTCTTCTTCTACTTGATCGGTGAGTGTCGGGGTCAATATTGAGTTTGAGGGTTATTACCTCCAAAGGGCTACCTGTCATGCCAGTGTGTGAACAAGCAAAATAATATTTATTAGTCCTTAAAAATTCAATTAACTCACTTCTGAGGTCGAGGTCAAGCCTCGAACCAATAAACCTTTCTTTCCAAGAAGTCTATGAAGAGTATGACTACCTCTAATTCTTTGGTAGTTGATTTTATGGCATCCGTCTCTTCCCGCTCACCGACCGCACTATTTGAAGTAACTATCTGATTGTTCATTTCAGCTTGAGGGCCGTGGCTCCCTACGATCCCTACTATTTTGGTTGTTGTTTAGTACGTTCATCTTTGCCGCGCCTACTTGCAATGGCGATCAAGTTACACCCCGAGCTTCTCTTTGTTCTCCTATGATATTTCTAGTTTTCCATTTAGATGGAACTTGATGCCTTGGTGCAAAGTGGACAGTACTACATCCATGTCGTGAATCCATGACCTTCTCATGATGATGTTGTGAGCCATATCCCTGTCTACTACCTGAAATGGGGTGTTTGTCTACTCCCTCTACAAAAGTAGTTAGAGTAATCTCACAACATGTCGTCTCGCTGGAGTTATTAAATTCGAAGAGCAAAAATGCTTTTAGAACGATATGATCAGTTACTTCATCTTTTTTTACGACTTACAATTAGATGACATTCACTGAACTTCTTGGGTCAATTAAAACCCGCTTAATATAAATATCTAAAATATGTAATATAATTACCAGTGCATTATTATGCGGCACTATTAGCCCATTTGTGTTTTCATTATCAAAAGTGATGCTCTCCTTGGTTAATGTTTCCTTGCTGTGTTTCTCATGCTTAATCGAGTTCTTAGCAAATTTCTTTGCAGCAGTGAATGTAACTCATTGACCTTTACAACTTCAAAGATAACACTGATTATTCACATGGGTGATGGGGCTCGAGAAGGCGGCTCCTCACTTCGATTATTCATGTAATATTTTTTTCTTTTTCACTTAAAATCTCTGTGAGGTACCTGTTCTTCTGGAGATGAGCTACCTCATTTTGTAAAATACTATAGTCTGCGATCTTATGTCCGTGATCGTTGTGAAACTTGCAGCAGAATTCTCGGCTTCTCTTATTGAGATCCAACCTCATCTCTTTGGGCCATCTTACCTTATCTCCCATCTTCTTTAATATTGTTACTGTTGGGATATATACTATTAACCATGAGTTTGGTTTAGATATAGTATTTATTATGAAATAANACTAGTTCGGAGATGCTAACATTGAAATTGTAGTCTCTAAGCTTTGGTAGATCCATTTTTTACCTATTTGTGAGGGGGCCATGTTGTTTCTCATATTGGCATTGTACCATCTCAGATGGATTCTTATCTTATGTCGACATTTCTGCCGAAATGGCCCATCTCAGAGAGTACATTGCCAAGAAGGAAGTCGGGCTCAAATATGTGAAGTCTCATGAACAAGTTGCAGATATCTTCACAAAGTCTCTTAAGTTTGAAGATTTTCAAAGATTGAGATCAAGACTTGGAATAAAGAAGAAAAATCAAAATTAAGGGAGAGATTTGTAGGACCCATAAAAGGAAAAAAGGAAATAAAGAAAAAGTTAAAAAAGTTGGTGAAGTCAAATTAGGGTGGCAGAATTTTTTTCAATAAGGGCGGCTGAAATCTGGACTTTACAAATTGAGGAACCAATCAGATTGGTTGGGTTGGTGAAAATGTGCCTATAAATATGAGCTTCATTTGTTCAGTTTAAGTACACCAAAATAACAAGAGAAACATAAAGCAGTGAGAGTAATCCACAGATTGTGGTCTGTGAGATAACTAGTGAGTGGTAGTAATATTGTAGTGAGGTGTTTTAAATAAAGAGTGTTATTTCTTTCAAAGTTGTAGTAGTCTCTTGACACTACTGAGTTGTAATATTATAGTGGTAATATTGCTCCACTCGGGTATTGTATTTTATCCCGCTAAAATATTTGGTATCATTGTTGCTCTCTTGTATTATTATTATTTACTGTAGATATTATTCCTGGGCGAGATTATTTTTGATCCCAACAAGTATATCTATTTTCCATCTTATAATCAGTGGTAGTTCGGGATATCGTATCTTTTTCTATCGGAGCTCGGTACTTTACCAATTTTAACATTGTTCTTGGTTATTGGGGGAACTCCCCTAGGCTCTCTTTCAGTGTACTTGTGACTTCCAAGCTCCTCGTTAAGTCTTTCATAAAGGCTATCGCGACTCAATTATTCGAAACAGGACGCAGTATCTTTTCCTGTGAAATTGATCTACAAACTCCTTAGAGCAATTTCTTGTATCCTTTTGGATTTTGAAAATGTCTTCTATTTAATTGTCCACCTTCCATGCTTAGGTATTTTCCTTAACAAGAGCATCTACAAGTTCAGCAAATGAACCGATTCAATTTTCAGGAAGAAGGGGATATATGGTCAACGCCCCTTTCGTGAGTGTTTCTACGAGCTTCTTAACGAGCACCGACTCGATATCCTTCTTGGTTGGGTTGTTTCCTTTGATTCCCGTTGTGAAATTTATAACATGATCCCCGAGGGTATGACGTCTCATCGTATTTTGGGATGTTTGTATCTTAAACTTTTTAGGTAACGGCAGCGGGGTAGCACATGGTTTCTAAGATTGTTGGTAGTAATTGTCCATGTCAATTCCCTTGATAACAGTTGGTACTCTCGAAATTTGATCAATTCATTCATTCTATTCCTTAATATGTTTCAACATAATTTCTTAAAAGAGCTTTGTAAAACTATTTTACTAGGGGTACTTGGACCCCCTACTCTCGAGTATCTGGGTAGTCCTCGGTACCAGAAATTCTCGGCATGAAACTTTAAGTCCTATCAACTGGTTATAATCTCGATGGGGGTACTGCTGGTGTTCAAGCACTTGCGTTTCTAGTCAACGCCATCAACACTTTCTCGATCTAGTTGTTCTATGCCTTCTGCTGGGTTATGAAACATCTCGTGGTTTCTTCCTATTTGATCGTGTTGCTCTCCGCCCATGCTAGAAGATCTCTCTTGGAATTCTCCCTAGATGGACGTGGGGAGTTCTAAGGGGTCGGATCATTTGGAGTTTGTCATACCCGGAATTCCTACCTTCGGAACCGTGATGGCGCCTAACATTTCACTTGCTAGGCAAGCCAACGTTAGAGAATCTTTAAGCCAATTTTAATAA